TTGTGTTTGTATACATTGCAGAAATAGATACTCTTGTCATACATTTCTTTATAAGTTATGAAATATGTATATCTGATAATGAAATTTGTTTCCTTTTTAGATTTAGTATTTTTAGTCAGTTGAGTGTGTTAGTACACTCGTAAACCTTAATTTTCTTTTAAAAACTCAATTCTGCATTTTGTAAGATTATAAACATTGAGGACTTTGGGATTTGACTTATTTTTATTGAAAATGTTAACATCTGTGTTTAAAGAAACAAATTTTAAAAGACCAAATACAGGTTTTTACAGATTACCTGAAGGTTAACCTTTAAATCTTTGTAATCCTGAGTCTGTCTTTAAAAGTAGTCCTGGTAACATTTCCTTTTGACCTTTCCTCTAGTCTTGAGATTATATCAGAAATGGCTTGGTTTTCAAATCCACTTAGTAGTGCAAAGAAAAGACCTTGTTGAATTTAGATGTAAAATCACATTGTGAACGGATGCCTCATTCTGATTGTTTTAGTTCCAAGATCCTGTCTTAGTAACACTTTGTGGACCATATGATGTTCAACTATGATATAAAAAAAAATATTTGAGCTGGCACTGTGGTACATACTGTAATCGAAGCCACTCAGGAGGATTGCAAGTTCAAGGCCAGCCCTGTGCAACTTAAAACCCTGTCTCAAATATATATATATATATATATATATATAGGCATATATATATATATAGGCATGCAGCTCAGTGGTAAAGTACCACTGGGGTCAATTCCTAATACTGCAATCAATCAATCAGTAACCTGATAGAAAGGTTAGGAGGGTCTTTCCTTATTTAGATACATACTTCTGCATCTAGGTGAGTTATTGGTTTTCTGTCTTCAGTGAAATGCTTCCTTTTCACCAGAAGGAAGTAGTCACTGTTTGGGAGTATACTTGTTTTTTTTTTTTTTTCCCCTTCCGGTTAGGTAGGGATCAGGTTTGAAATTTCTGCTGAGTTAAAGAGTAATTATCTATTTCTCAAAATCAAATATTTTTCATTTCTTCTTACCTTTTACTTGGTAAGTCTGTATAAAGATGGAACTTTTGTACTCATGGATTATGAGGTAAAAGACATAAGACAAAAGAAGTGACTTTGAATTTTATATAAATTGAAACAATCTTCTGATATGGTAATTTTTTTTTTTTTTTCATGGTATTGTGGATTGAACCCAGAGGCACTTTACCACTGAGCCACATCTACAGCCCTTTTTATTTTGATACAGGTTTTTTTTTACTAAGTTGCTTAGGGCCTTGCTAAGTTGCTGAGGTTGATCTTGAACTAGTGTTCCTGTTTTCTCAATCTCCCACTTTGCTGGGATTACAGGCATGTGTCACTGTGCCTAGCTGGTGTATTAATAATTTTAAATTGGTAAACAATAAAACCATGGGGTTCTCAAATAAGGAGTGACTGGAAGGAAATAAAAATATATGATAATGATAATATACTTTGTAGTATTTCTAGACATGAATGTTTATACTTGTGTTTTGTTTGTTTGTTTTTTGCAACTGTGACCAAAAGACCTAACAACAACAATTTTAGAGGAAAAGTTTATTTGGTACTCACAGTTTCAGAAGTCTCAGTTCATACAGCAGCTGCACTGCTCTGGGCTTGAGGTGAGGCAGAACACCATGAAAGAGAAGGGTATGGAGGAGGAGAGCAGCTCAGGACATGACAATCAGGAATCAGAGAGAATTCTGCTTACCAGGGACAAACTATAAATCCCATGGCAACACTTTCAGCCACATACAACTTACCTACAGTCATCACCCAGTTAGTCCTATCAGTAGGTTAATGCACTAATTAGCTTAAGGCTCTCCTAACCAATCATTTTACCTCTGAACTCACACACACACACACACACACACACACACACCCCCCTCCCCCCCCCCCCCCCCATTTAATTTTAAATTTTTTGGTACTGGGATTGAACCCAGGGGCACTTAACTGCTGAGGTGTTTTGTTTTGTTTTGTTTTTGAGATAAAGTCTCCCTAAATTGCTTAGGGCCTTGCTAAATTGCTGAGTCTGTATTTGAATTTGCAATCCCTTCTGGGATTACAGGCATGAGCCACCTTGCCTGGTTGTACATTTGCATTGAGCTTTGGGTGGATACCTCTTATATCTAAACCATAATAATGAGAACATTGAAAAGAGTTATTCTCAAAAAAAAATTTAACAATTAAAATTATTTTGTGTCTTTAAAGTAACGAAAGTTCTTAAGAATAAGCCCATTTGAAAATTTTACTTAGCACATTCCACACAGAGTGGCTGCTGTTAGTCCTTAAGAATGAGGTGCACCAAGTGTGGCTGTTTGCATTTTTCTTAAAGAATCTAATGTTTAGAACTCCGTTCTATTAATTTTTTTTCTTTTTGGTTCTGTAATGTAGGAGTTTCTTTTTTGTTTGTTTGTTTGTTTACAAAATTCTTGGCTTGAATGAGAAATGACATCTGAGGAGGAAAACATGCCAAGTAATTTCCTTTTAAAATTCTTAATAGGACACATAAAGCATATCCCAAATGCCGCTAAACATATATGCTTTACCACTGAGTTGCAACTGCAGCCTTTAAATTAATTCTAATGTCTCTTATATAAATACTTTTCAATTTTGAAGAGGATATCAAGTAATTTATTCATCAATATATACTGGGCATTATCCTTGTATTCACCACTGTGCTGCCTGACCTGGGTTGATTTTATGTATGTGAATATGGATGGGAGGGGCAGGAAGAGCGACTTCAAGGAAAAAAGAAATTCGAGGGGTTTTGTTTGTTTGTTTGTTTTTCTGATACTGTTCATTGAACACAGCACCTGTGCTTGCTAGGCAAACATTCCACCACTGAGCTATACTCCAGCCCCAAGAGATTTTTTTTTTTTTAAAGAAAATGGATTGTATCAAAGGCAAAAACAAAGTAAGACAAAAAGGAAGTTGGCTGTCAGAATCAGAAAAGTGGGTGGTTTGTACAATTTGTTGGATAGGAAAAACTTTTACTATACTCTTTTAGGCACAAATTTATTCAGTAAATTTATCACATTTTTTGAGACTTATCCCTAATACTCTAAACTTACAGATTTTAACCCTGTCATTTTACATAGATTTCTATGTCTTTTCATTCTCTATTAGAACCATAAAGTGTATGAAGGAAAAATTTCCTCTCTTCTCTACCATATCCCTAGTGCCTAGAATAATGTCTGGCATATAGTAGATGCTCAAAATATTTAATGAATGAATGAATGGGTTTTTTTCAATCTACGAGGCATTGTGGATCTCATTCCAACCCAATGCAAAAGAAAGGATATATTTTATGCTGTAGAAGCAGTTGAAGAAGTTCTATTACTAATTTGCTGAGTCTTTTTTATTAAAATTTTTTTAAACACTTTATTTTTGTAGAGCAGAGTTAGTTTACGGCAAAACTAAGAAGAAGGTGCAGAATTCTTATATCCCCTTTGCCCCCATTCATGCAGAGTCTCCCTTATTATCAACATCCACTAGAGTAGTGTTGTTGCTGTAATTGATGAACCTATGTTGACTCATTATTCTCAACTAGTCTATAGTTTACATTAAGGTTTACTCGTTTTTTTTCATTCAAAATTATTTTACTTGTTAAAATTGTACATATTTTGGTGGAACTGTGTGATAACTCAATATATGTATACAATGTATAATTTTCCAATCAGGATAATTTGTATGTACATTTTCTTTAACTTGTATCATTTCTTTGTTTTAGGAATTTTTCAGTCCCTTCTAGTTCTTCATGAAATATATCACAAATTTATGTCAGCTGTAGTCACCCTACTGTGCTGTAGAATATTAGATCATATTCCTCCTAATAGTATTTTGATACCCTTATCCAATTTTCTATCTCTACACCTCTACCCTTACTAATTCGTAGTGACACTCTTATACTCTCTACTTCAATAAAATCAACTTTTTAAAAGTTATTCATGTGAAAAAGAACACATATTTTTTTTAATACCTGGCTTATTTCACTTAACATAATATTCTCTAGTTCCATTCATATTTCTACAAATAACCATATCTCTCTTTTTTTTTAAAAAAAACAAACTGAATGATATTCCATTGTGTATGTATACTGTACTTTCTTTATCCATTCGTCTGTGGGTAGACACTTCTTGGGTGAATCTATGTCTTAACTATTGTGAATAGTCATTTCTTTGTTGTACTGATTTGATATGCCGTGGGTATATACCCAAAGGTGGAACGACTAGTTCATGTGTTAGTCTAGTTTTAGCTTTTTTTTGGTACCAAGTCTTCAAAAGAAAAAGAAGGAATTATGTTGAATTTTATCAAATTTTTATTTCTGTATCTATGGAGAACGTCACATGATCTTCCTTTAGTTTGTTGATATAGTAAATTATATTGATTGATTTGCAATTTTTAAAAAATTAAACACTAATTATTTTCTGCTTATTAAATCCTACATCTGTCCTTTTCTTCTTTGCTTTCGTTTTCTTTTCTTTCCTTTTCCTCCCCCACCTCCCTCTTTCCCTCCCTTTCTTCCTTTCTTTAAGTATTAATTTGAGACAGGGTCTTGGTAAGTTGCTGAGGCTGGTCTTGAACCTGTGATCCTCTTGCCCCTGTCTTCCACATCTCTGGGATTACAGGTGTTCACTTCCACACCCAGTTGTTTCTTTCTCTATTTTATGAGTGTATTTCCCTCCATATCTTTTGTCGCCCTCTGTCATACTATATATTTCACTTATTTTTCTGTCTCCCTTCAGTTCCATGTTGAGTTCTCACTTTTCCTCTAGTTTCTACTATGGTGTCTACCACAAAGAAGGATTTAGCAAATGCTTGTTGAATGAGCGTCTGCCTTCTTGCAAAGAGTCCATAGTCTAGGAGTGAGAAAGAGGTACACAAATACAAATGTATGTACCTTAGAAGAACTATAAACAAAATTCTTTGTTAGCTCAAGATGGGAAAGGTTAGTCTCTATAACAGATCTTTTTCTTTTTTCTATCAGATTTGAAAGATGATACATCTAGAACAAATATATTCAATGATTCGGAAAACAAGAAGAATTCAATAAAGATGTGGTTTAGTCCTCGAAGCAAGAAGGTCAGATATGTTGTGAGTAAAGTTTCAGTGCAGACCCAGCCTCAAAAAGTAAAAGATGATAGTACTCAGCAAGCCTCAATGTATGAATTTGTTTCTTCAAGTCCTCCTGTAGTTGTTCCTAAGAGGGCTAAAAAGGCTTCTACAACATCTGCAAAGAAGCAAAAAAAGAAAACTTTAGCTGAAATCAACCAAGAATGGAATTTAGAAGTGGAAAAAGAAGCTGGTGAACTTGACTCCAAAGAGGAATTTAAGGAAAGGGTGGTATCCTTCTGTAGCTCACCATCAGTTATCACTAGTCCACAGATAAATGGTGAAATAGACTTACTAGCAAGTGGCTCTGGAACAGAATCTGAAAGCTTTGGAAGCTTAACTGAGGTCTTTTTACCATTGGCTGAGCATATAGAGTCTCCAGACCTTGAGGGGAAGAATGAGGTGACTCCTGAGGAGAAAGAGGTCACTGACAGTGATCTTACAACTACGGCAGCTTTGGTCTCCTGTCTCCCTGGCAAACGTGGGTGTTGTCGCAGGTTGTCTGGCTCCATGTCTAAGAGATGTAAAAGCAGCATTCCAAGCACCAGTGGAGATTTCGTTAAGCAAACAGTTCTCTCAGAAAACATCCCATTGCTTGACTGTTCCTCCCCACCTCCCAGCAAACTTAAAGGGGATGACATGACGAAGAGGAAAAACAGTAATACATCAGATGAGTCCATTAGCCTTTCACCATGTACACCACCATCTACACTGAATAGTTCAAGTTACAGACGAATGATGTTGAGTCCCTCTGCGATGAAGCTATTGCCTGGTAGCTTTATGGTTGGGAAAAGAAACCATAGAGGAGAAACTTTGCTTCATATTGCTTCTATCAAGGTAGGATGGTTACTCTGAAGTGCAATCTTGGAGTGAAATTGTGTAAGCCAGTTTTTTCTGTTTCTATAACAAATATCTGCTGTAATCATCTTACAAAGAGAGGTTTGTTTTGGCTTTCAGTTTTGGAGGTTTCAGTTCAGGACCAGCCCCAGTGCTTTGGGCCTGTAGTGTTATAGCATGGTGGGAATGTGTGGTGGAGCAGAGCTTTTCACCTCATGGCTGGGAAGTGAAAGAGGAAGAGGAAGGTGCTGTGGTCTCACTGTCCCCTCTGAGAGCATACCCTCAGTCACCTAAAGATTGATTGCTCACTAGGCCCCATTACTCAAAGTTTTCATCACCTTCCAATACTATCACACTGGGGACCAAGCCTCTAACACATGGACCTTTGGGGGACATCGAAGACCCAAACTGTAGCAAAGACCACCCTTAAGGCAATTTCTTTGGGGTTTGTGAAAAATATCCTAAGTTTACTAGGATATTACTGCAGATACCATACTTCTTCAGAACTGGGGAAGTGAAGTTGACAGGGACTGATCCTTGGGTCTGGGAAGTATGATCTTATATTATAGGAGAAAACTAGTATTCAAATATTGCAGCTTCTGCTTTGCCAAGTACTTTTTCTGTTGTCTGGTTCTGTTTTCATCATCTTGTTTAACCAATCCTCCCAAGCTTTATGAATATAGACAATAGCTAAGTTATTGCTAGCAAGATGTTTTTACCTAGCAAAAGGGCTGGAGGCTGTGTGAGAGGGGACAAGCTTCTGTCTCTGATGCTCCTTGTGGGCCCTGCCAAAATCTGGAACATTGAAAGATGTATATTTTTCAAGTGACCCTGGGCATTTGACTATCACAAATGGCTCTATAGGTGGGCATGGTGATGTATACTTAATCCCAGTGACTTGAGAGGCTGAGGCGGGAGGATCCAGGCCAGCCTGGGCAATTTAACAAAACTTTTTCTCAAAAAATAATATGTACTGGGGATGTGGCTCAGTGGTAAAGCACCTTGGGGTTAAAGTCCTAGTATCAGAAAATAGAACAAAAACAAACTTCGAAAGTTTGCCACAAAGGAGCTACCTGTGCCTCACAGTCAGCCATTTCTTTTACTAGCCATTCATCAAATTAATTTTCTAATTATTGCCTCAGTACCTGGGATGGCAGTGCTATTCTTTGGAACCTGGACAGTTTTCTGAGAATGAGGTGCACTTGTGTTGACACAGTACTGCCCATAAAAGGGGATAGTAAGCTCAGTAGTCTTATAGACTGCTCTGATTTCTTGCAAGTAAGTGATAGGAAAAATAATGTGTGGAGCTTAGTCCTAAATTAGAAAAGCTCTTATGTTCTTTCAGTAACTTCACGTGGAAAATTCATGAAATCTTTAGATGGATAGAGAACTGTGGGTGGTGTAGAAGGAATCCTTTGGAGGTTCCTAAACATGAAGCTGGTGGGCAACATAAAACATTTGGGAAAAACAAGCTGTGGACATTGAGTATGCCCAGCAGTTCCTGTATTTTTGTGTGGAGAAAGGGAAAAGCACAAAATGAGCATTTCTTAATTGTTTTTCTTCCCCTTTACTTTTATATTAATGTAGACTACTCTGTTACTGTTGCCCTTCAGGGGCTGGGTGAAGGGGACCTGCAAATTACCATGTTAGGGATCTCATTCTTTAGATAACTCAAGATTTTTGACATTTACTATGTTTAGGTTTTATTTTTGCGAGGCATGACTTATAAAATCAGGATTTTGGGGGGGATATTGTTTTCATATGTATGCATATTATATCTATGCACATGATCTATTATAATCTTAATGTTACAGTGTTATCAGTGCTTCATAGACATAAGTAGTTACTGTAATAGTATTTTTTTGTTCATTTTTCTTACCAATAGATATGAATGTAACCTACTTTAGTTTGTGTTTTGCATTTTGGAAATTTTCAAACCACCAGGCAAACATCCACTTAGGTTAGTAGAGAATTTTTCTTCTGATTCTAAAAATAATTTTTCTTTATTAATGAGGGTATTCTGAGCCTAGGGTCTAGGCTAGGCTAGGTTTTGGTACCTCACCCCCCTCATTTTTTTTCCTTTGTGTGTGTGTGTGTGTGTGTGTGTGAGAGAGAGAGAGAGAGAGAGAGAGAGAGAGACTGGGGATTGAGCCCAGGGTTGTTCACAACTGAGCTACATTGTCAGCCATTTTTTATTTTGAGACAGAGTCTCACTAAGTTGCCCAGGCTGGCCTTAAATTTGAAAAGTTTCTGAATAGCTGGGATTACTGGTGTGTTCCACTGCACCCATTTTAATAAACCCTTTCTTAAGGAGGTAGAGTAAATATTTACAGCTTTGTATGCCATGTGGTCTATGTCATGACTGATCAACTCTTCCATTCTAGAGCAAAAGCAGCCATGGACAATAATATATAAACCAATTAAACATTATACTCAAAGTCAGATTGGCCCACAAGCCACAGTTTGTGTTCTTTTGGTCCAGGCGTGGAAAAAAGCTACAATAGAATATTAAGATAGGGAAAAAATAGTGGTATGATCCTGTCTTCGTGAACTTTCTTTGTTGATATGTTCATGATTGATTCGTGTGAGTTTTGTCAACTTACTTAGAATCTTACTAGAATTAGATTTACCCATTTTGTTCTTTTGAACTTAAATTATTAAATGCTGTTTTTCTTATAAGTTGGAAGGCTCTGATACAGTACATAAAGTCTGTTCATTTCTATTGTTTTAAAATCATGAATTAACAATAGTTTTGTTTTGTTTTGTTTTTTTCATTACTGTAAACAGAATGCATATCCCCCACCTAAGTTTGATCTTCAGTGAGACATATGCTTGGGAAAAACAATGGATTTGTCATTATATTTATTCTTGTAGAAAAATATTTTCATCTTATTCTTATCCTGATTTTCTCATTTGTAGCCGAGAGTGACCAATCTGGGTGTACTAGAAAACCAAATATTGTAATTCTGCTATCTCAGTTATGTTTTTTACCCACCTACTTCAGAAAAGGATTTGAAGGTGCTTTAAAGTTAAAGCTACCATAAAATGGAACAGGGAGCAGGGAAAAAGGAAAGAGTTGCTACTGCATAATGAATTTAGATTTGGTGACTCTTAAGGCAGCCAAAGGAAATGAAGGAAAGTAGCAGGTTTTGTGTTGTCAAAAGATAAGGTTTTTCTTGGTGCTTGTTTTTCCCTAAAGCATATTGGTAGACTTGCAGTTTTCATAGTTATATGTAGTTCTCTTGGGTTCAGGAGGTGTGGTTGCCTGTGCATACTTGGTATGTGTATTGAGAGGGCACAGAATGTAGCAGTAGGTGTACTATTATGTTGAGTTGTTTAGGTTCCTCTGCTGCAATTAGGACTTTGTAGAATGATCTCTGAACTTGGGAATCTTATTAACATTAACATTCTTTAATATCTTGTACCAAACTTATCTCTAGGCATCATGTTTGGCATTACCCTTTGTCTTTTTTCTCTGATCACTTGTGTTAGCTTTCTGTATAACAAGCTTTAGTGACTTAAAACAGTGCAAATTAATTTTTTTACAGTTCTTTGAGTCAGAAATTTGGTATCAGTCTCATCAGATTAAAATGAGTCTGTCAGGTGTGTTACCAGAGGCTTTAGTGAATGATCTGTCCCTTACTTATTTGGGTAGTTGGCAGGAACTGCAGAGTTCTTGGTTTCTGGCTTTCAACTGAAGGCTGTTCCCAGGTTCTAGAGTCTGTCAAATTCCTCAGTTGGTGGTATTCTTCCTCTGTCTTCAGATCCAGCAATAACAGGCTGAGTCCTTACATGCTCTTTCTGATGTAGCCAGGAAAGGTTCTGTGCTTTTAAAAGACTGATTAGATTGGGGCCACTAGCACAGATGAATCTCCCTTCTCAAGGTCACATTGCAGTGTTACTTTTCTATGTAAGCTAATATATTTACAGGTATTGAGGTTTAGCATGAAGTCATTTTGGGGAACAACACCACAGAGTTAGCTCCCTAATTTCTTGCACTGCTTTCCTATTATATTTGCATGACAACTAGAGTAATCAGAGAGTCAAAACTTGGCTTCTCTGCCCACCCCCATAATTCTATAACCCTCTTCTTATATCATTATAACCCATGTTCCTATTTGAATATCTGTCACTTATACCTAAAATGCTGTTGAAAACATAATGAGAGATTGATTAACACTCATATTGTTCATTCTTTTGATTTAGTAAAACATAAAATACTAAGAATATAAAGAAAATTTTCCATTTTCTATTATGTGATGACAGTAGTGCGTGGGAATTTGTAAGTACTGGAGTCAACATCGCTGTCATCCCAGGTTCTCTGGCACAGATTCTTAACATGGCCATAGTTACTTGTAAATCATGCCACAGCACTGAACAAGTGAGATAGAATGGCTCAAAGCTGGCATGCCATGATGTATTTGTGATCCAGACATAATAGATTATATTTTGAAGGCAACTTAAAGGCATGGTCTGCTTAAACTATAACAAAGCTGGTGGAGATCTGCTTAGTAGAGCTGAGCAAATCCCTAGGGAGGTGTCTCCTTCAGGGTTTGACTTTGAAACTCACTATACTAATAAGTCACATCTTTTTTATATGTCCTGCATACTAGCTTCATGAGAAAGTAAAGGACATGAAAGTAAACTGGCATTTATGATATGTTCACGATTTTAATTTGTGGAACACCTTGGAGTCAGCATTCACGTCTTCCAGTGAGTCTCCCACCATTCATGTGCAAGTCTGCTTTTATAATAGTAGTGATTTATTGTAATATTGAGTAGGTAGTCAGAATCATTTATGAAATTATTAAGTAAATTCTAAGAAGCTAGAGAAGTGTTTAACATTTTATAGTGCTATCCTAGATGGCTTTTTTATTTTTAAAACAACATCTCATTGCTAAAAGGAGAAGTTTTAGCTACCTGTCCAGTTTCTTTTTGTGGAAATGTTTAACTATGCTGGGTAAGTAATTTTTATTGTAATGTTCTCTACTGATTTTATGAAGATCTTTATTAGTGATATTTTAGAAGAGTTACCTTTGTAACATGGAAAATAATTTTGTTTGTATTTTTGGAAAGTTAATTTATATTGCTAAAATATGCATGTATCTGCAATATGTGAGAATATGTGAAGAATTTTTCCTTTCATTGAAAAGTTAGCATATAAAAATTCAGTGGACACATTCTCAGCCTTTAAAGTATTACTTGAAAATACCAAATCTGTTTTAAATTTCTTATAAGCCTTTGTAAATTCTTTGCTTGGATGATTTCCCTCCCGCCCCCTTTTTAGCTGTGGTTTAAGGAAACCTCAATTATTCTTCTAAGTTATGAGGAATAAGAGTGAGTGCTTCTTACTCAAAATATTCTTCTAGAGAAGAAAGTAATTTAAAGAAATGTGAAGTAGAAGTTAATTTGTTTCCTGGAAACTTCATATCAGTTCAAGCCTATCCAGTTACATTGGACCCTATCTAATTATCATAATTTTATTTATGTGCATGACTATAAATTTACATAAAGTAGAAAGATGAAAATATGACAAACTTTTAAGTACTAGAGAGGAGAAAGCAGATTGGGTATAAGCAGTAAGGAGTTTGCTAATCAGTTATACATTTCAAGGGGTGAAATATTAATAGAAGACACCTTTAATAATATGAAGAGGTGACATGAAAGAAAATAGTGACTTAAAAGAGATTTCTGTATTCTCCAGAATGTCACTCTGTTTCTATTCTATTTTAATGTTCCATATTTACTTCCATTCTGCACTTGTGTTTATATTTTCTGGACTTCTTTAGGTTATACTTTTTGTTATTACCATGTAGGATTAAAGCAAGGTAACTTTTGAGGAGGGTTTGTGTGTGCATGTGTATTTTTGTGAATACTTTCATGTTGAAGGTAACGAATGTGTATGGTTCTGGCTGTTTATCTCTTCGGTGTTCAGGGGATTGCTTAAAATAATTCAAATTTATTTCTTGGTAGATATTCCTGATTTCATTTGGAACTGACTTGGGTGTAGAACAAAAGTTGCTAAATACATGTTATACTGGAAGAACAGAATTTGCAACCTAAGGGATTTGGGGAAAATGGGGGGGGTTTTTGTAACTAGGATAATCTGTTTGGAACGTATATAATGCTTATTTTTAGGTCGGTTAAACCTTTAACGTTATTTTGTTTTAATTTAAGACAATAAAAACATGATGCGTGTGAATTTATTTTAAAACCTTAAGCTACCTTCTAAAGGTTCTGTACTTGAGAAGTAGCCAAAATATGAAAATAGAAATAATTTTTTAAAAAGCAAAAAATTCTTAAAAATCAAATGTTAATTATATTTAGGGGATTAGTGACTTGTACACATCAACCCAATAGAGGAAAACTTTCATTTCAAGGGTATTGGCTAAATATAGTTAGATAAGAGTAAGAAGTTCTGGTGTGTTGTTGCATAATGGGATGAGTATAGAAGATGATAATAAGTGTTATATATTTCAAAAAGGTAGGAAAAATTTTTTTAAAATTTTCACCATAAAGAAATGATAGGGAGATAGATATGTCTATCTAAATTTAAACATTATATAATGTATACATATACCAAAGCATCATTCCCCATAAATGAGTATAATTTTTATGTTTTATGTCTCAGTTTAAAAAATATAAATTAAGCTGGGCATGGTTGTCTGTTATCCCAGCAACTCACTAGGCTAAGGCAGTTGGATAACAGGTTCCAGGCGTAACGCAGCTTAGTGAGACCCTGTGTCAAAATAGAAAATAATGGAGGATGGGGATGTGTCTCAGTGGTTGAGCACCCCTGGGTTCAATCCCTGGTGCACAAAAGAAAAAAAAAATACACACACACACACACACACACACACATAAATGTAAAAAGTATTGGGTGTAGGAGATTTCATCTCCATTAAAGAAGTGTTTCACAAAATAATTCACAACATTGTATATGTTTTTTCTGTCATATGTAGCTTATTTATTTAGCCTTCTTCAAAATAAATTCAGTGATTTCTTTGTGTGTGTGTGTGTGTGTGAATTTAGTTAAACTATACCTCTCCTGTTAATCCTAAACGAACAGATTTAGTTATATTTGCTGTGACCTGAAATGGTGTAATTTCAAGAGAATTTTATCTTCATCTCACTGCATAAATGCCATTCTTCTTCCTAAAGCCTGACATTGTTTTAAAAAGAGGCAATAACTTTTATTTTATAGTTAGATGTTTCTGGTAGTACTAGGGATTGAACCCAGGATCTTGTACATGCTAGCCAGGTACTCTACACTGAGCTACATTCTCAGCCCCAACTAGAGATTTTTTAAGAAGGCTTTAAGAATTGACCAATACTGAAAGAAAGAAAGAAGGAGGGAGGGAAGAAGAAAGAAAAGAGAGAAAGGAAGATGTCAGATATCTTTGCATATTATATTAAGGTCTTAGTTTGGGGAAAAGGAACAGTAGAAATTTGGCCTAGTTTAGCTGAGTGGTGGAATGTGTGCCCAGCATGTGTGAGGGCTTGGGTTAAATTTTCAGTCCTTCCCCCCATCACAAAATAAATAAATAAAGAAAGAAGAGTGAGATGAGATATTCCCTGAGATTAATTCTTTCAGTCTTAATTTATTTACCAGGGTTCACGTTCATTGGAGGCTGGCAACATAGTTTCCAAGCTATGTCATTTACTTTTTTCAAAAGACTTCTTAATTCCTTTCATCTATATTCGGATTTAGTTAGATCAGGATACATAAGACACAGATAGTTCAAAATTGGAAAGGGATTTAATTTTAATATCAGTTAACAATGAAAAGTACCTTAATAACTTAAAGATAGAATTAGTATTGTCTGCCTTTAATTTGTTTTCCTTGTCTTGTGCCTTAATTTAATTCACCTATTCTTGATTTTATTCATCTTTTTCAAAAACAGGCTTTGATTACAAAAATGTTTTTCTTATTTATATCTTTTTTTCCTTTTCTCTCCAATATATCTGTGAGCTGATGTTATAAAATAATTGCATATACTTCCAGAGTGTTGAAATAAGGATTGAAAACCTTTTGTGTAGTACGAAAGATTTTGTAAGGAATATCATAGATTTGTCAAAATTTATTTTCTGTAATTCAGTTAATTGATAATGGGTGATGATTTTAAATCTTGAACTCTGGAATAAACATCGAATGTTTATTTCATATGTTGTTTTGAATATGTTCTTCTGATCCCTTTTCTGCCATTTTAAATAGCTACTGCTTCTGCCATGAAATATCTCTAAGCAAATAAGGTGAATATAAACTAAATTAATGTGTTAGGATAAATAAAGTAAGTGCCAATAAAGTAACAGATTTTGGCAGTTTAACATTGGCTTCACTCAGTACCTTTCTTGGCTATAAATAGTGTTTGTTTTAAATAATACTCAGATATCATTTTCATGTATGTGCAAAAAGGATTTTTGCACAAATGAAATTACAACTTTAAAAACTTCATCATGATCAGATGGTCTTTGGCCAGGATTATTTATATAGTATCTTGAGATGAATTTTGAATATGGGTTGCTAATAAAAATTTTGTACTCCATATTCAAGGATAATGCAATATATTGGTACTATTCATACATGCATAGCCTAATATTTCTTAGTTCTTGAGCAATAGATAGTAGAGAAAAGATTTAAGCTTAACTTTTTCTTGAAGAAAATGGAATCTTTAAAAAAACAAAAAGCCCAAAACCCTAAATATCTTCCTTATGTTCTTGATACCTTTTTCCCCTCCCAGCAATACTGGGGAATTGAACCCAGGGTCTCCTGAATACTTGGCAGTCACTGTACCATTGAAGTACACCCCCAGGTTTTGATATTTTTTAATATGTTTTTCTTTTTCATTGTTCTACTAGGGTGATGTTCCTTCTGTTGAATACCTCTTGCAAAACGGAAGTGATCCCAATGTTAAAGACCATGCTGGATGGACACCATTGGTAGTTTTCTATTTTGTTTTGTTTGTTTCTGTTGCTGGGTATCTACTTTTTTTTATTCTTCTTCTCTTTATGTTCATAGTTCTTAAAGTTTATAGTTTTATGATGTCCATATATCAGCCTCTGCCATCTCTATACTCATTTTAAACTGAAGAATTTATGTTTTCATTAAGTATAAAAAATAATTATTTTCCATCTTAACTTTTCAGTTTTGATAGACAAGAAATTGGCTGCCTTTTAACTACCTTTAAATGTAGGAATCCAGTTATACTACATTGCTGAATTTAACTAATGTGTATAGAGTTAATGAACATCAGGATTCGTTCTATAGCATAGCATGTCACTGGAACCTAATTAAGTGTCTTAAGTCTTTACTTGTTATTACTATAAAAGCAATGTGAAGAATGCTTTGGAAAAAGAATGGTAAAAATACTTGCAAACAATTGCTATATGCATTCATTACATTAAGACAAAAGCATGATATTTGAATGAAAGCATAGAGTGTCAGCAAATGAGGGTTTTTTCTTTATCCTTTAAACAAGAAGTTAAGCAGAGAAATTAGTAGGCTGTCATTAGGCTAGATGCAGAAAAGGTTGAAAGGTATATATAATGACTTTTCCTTAGCAAATTCTTAAACTGGGAGGGTTTAGTCTGGATCACAGTCACTTTATTGTTTAGAATCCAAAGGCTGGCTAAACTTTTCAAAGAAAAGTTATTTATTTATTTTTAATGCCACTAAGGCAAATGGTAGTAAAGGCCAGTGGGTAATTTCAAGGATCTGATGCCTAGTTTGAGTTCCTTTCTCCTAGTTACAGACTTAGACATGTTGAATGTAGTGTTGCCTATTAATTGATACGTGCTAAAGAAAGCACAATATACCAGAGATTTATGAGAATACAATATAGTGAAATTGTTGGCAGCTCATTAGACATAAAGAAAGATTTGCATGTAATATATCTTTGAATATTCCATTGTTAGCAGTTCTGTTATTTATTTAGTAAGCTGTTTTGAAAGCCTACTGTGTTAGTTCTGTTATCACTGACACCAGCCATCCAACAACCTCTAACTTTAGCAGAGAACTTGTCTTTTAAATAACTCTTAGGCCATTCACTCTGCTGTGTGCACATGTCTGTGTGCTGGTCTGCCATTTAGTATTGACCTGATACAGTGCATTTTCTTCAGCCTTAGAGAATTTCAGATTTTATACATGCTCTGGTTGTTAAATACCAGGTCTTTTTTCCTTAGTGCTCTAAAAGTATTGTGGAAAAATTGAGGAGCTATAGTTGGTTTAAAGCTGCATTATCTTTAAAACAACAACAACAACAACAAAGAAGAGTGCTTTACCCATGGCTCTTCTTTTCTGTGATTTTTGATTACCACGTATCTCACCACAAAGATGATTTATTCACAGTGACTTTTACTCTTCCATCAACCCTATAGTCTGTATGAGTATTTAGGTAAGGATAAGTTTACTGACTGAGGTTTCCATTTATTTCTCTAAGTATGGTGGTATTATATTATCCTTCACTTTTCCTCATCCTTCCCCCTGCCCCCACTTTTGTTGTTGTTGTTGTTTTTAACTAAATTAGCACGAAGCCTGCAACCATGGGCACCTGAAGATAGTGGAATTGCTGCTCCAGCATAAAGCATTGGTGAACACCACTGGCTACCAGAATGACTCACCACTTCATGATGCAGCCAGGAATGGGCACGTGGATATAGTCAGGTTGTTATTGTCCTGTGGAGCCTCCCGGAATGCGGTGTAAGTAGTCCTCTTAAAAATTGTTTTTAAATTGACTTGTATTCCCAAATCAAGGTACATGATGAAGCAAAGACTGTTCTACCCAAGTTGATGTTTTCCTCTTTTTTCTAAAAGTAGAGTTAGATGTGACCATTAGGTTCCATATTTCAAATCAGCATGTGTGCTCTTTTTCTTGATGAGACTTTACATACTGGAGATTTGCTATATTTTTTCAGAAACAGTTGCCAATAGTTTCCATTTTGGAAACTTTATTTTATGAGCAAATTCTCTTAGTGTTTATATTCTGTAGATTGATTCATGCTTATTTATAAAAATTTATAGACTTAATTATTTTTTTGTGCTCTCAGATTCATTAGAATTAGTTTAAATATTTCATTTCTTCATGCCTTTTTCTGCATATTTAGTATAACAACAGTTAAAATATATAAGATTTCAGATATTAGGCAAGTGCAGTAGAATTATTTCCTAGATTTTTCACATTATTCAAATGAGGCTCTGAGTAAATTGTTTTGCAGTGTCAGGGCACAGAGGCACATTAGTGAATGCTGGCGGCTGCATTTTAAAATTGCTATTGTCAAGAGTATCACAAGCAAATGCCGTATGTAGATTTTATATCTTTAATCTGTAACTTGGCTCATGTCTCCCTATATATTATTTTACTCTTTTCAGTTAATTAGGTAGTTGAAATGAAAATGTCAGAATTGCCTCTCTGTGCCCCAGTTGCTTCTATAGGTTTTGAAAGAGCACACAAAAGTCAGGTTTACCCAGTTTACAGAGGAAAATAAGAATTGGAAAATATAAAGCTTCTAAGTTGTAATATTTTATAGGTAACAATTTAACATAATTGAAAAACAAAATAATAATGCAAGAATGTACCATACCTTAGTGCTGTTAATTTCAGTAAGTGTGTCTAATCTCCTTTATTTCTTTTCACAAGTCATAAGATAGTTGGGGGTTGGGGCATACTCAAGGGATATATATATATATATATATATATATATATATATATATATATACTTTTTCTCTCTCTCTGTGTGTGTGTGTGTGTGTGTGTGTGTGTACACATGAATCTAATAGAGATATCTATGTCTATATAAGGACCTAACAGATTTGACCCCCCTGAGGGTGTAGCAAGCCATTTGATAAAGCAAATGGTTTCTTGAGTCAGGTGAAACTGAATAGTTTCCATCCTGGGGTTCTTAAATCAGCCATGACTACTATAATGAATGGAGCACTGGTCAGGGTGTTAGGGAATCCAGCTTTTATTTGTGACTCCATTATTGACTTTATAGCCTCAGGCAGGTTAATTTCTATGCCTTGGTGTCCTCACCTATAAAACATGGATGATGCCTGCTGCTTTTCTATTTCTTCAAAGCATAGTGAGGATTAATGAGCCAAAACACAGAGCCTGTCTTTGTGGTTTGTACACCATGATTCTTCATTGTAGTGTGAGGACTTATTAATATACAAGGAGTGGGTATGAGACAGTGAATGAGCCTGCCTTCACAGGTGTCTTCTCAGAGAGGACAGGCACTTGTTTTAAATATGCTTACCTAAAGAAGTGACAGACTTAGGTTTATGTATAGCCCAGCACTGTCCAGTAGTCCTTTCTTTGGTGATGGAAATGTTTATATCAATGCTGGGCATTCAGTAGCCAGTAGCCATCTGTAGATATAGAACACTTGAAAATTAGCTATCGCTACTGAGAAACTGTACTTTAAAATGTATTTAATTTTTAATTAAATAGTTACATGTGATACAGTTGGGAAGAGGGGTTTATTTAACAAAAGGGGATAGGATTGATACTGGATAAAAAGGTCTCAGTCAAAAGTCAGATGCAGTTGTTAATGTAGTTCTTAGGCATAATAGTATGGTCTCTGTTTCTGAACATTGTTATATATTTTGTAGACTATTGATTATCATTCTGAAATACTGTCCCTGTGGTTTTTTGCTTTTTGTTTGATAGTTCTTGTTCACCTAATTGGTCTTACCAGTGTCCTGCTGGCCTCCTCCTTTTCAGATTGTTTTTCTTTAATTCATTACCCATTCTGCTGCCTGAGTATTTTCAAAAAATACAAGTTCTGTCAGATTAAGTATTTGCTTAAAACTCTTCACTTCCTCCCTCATAATGTTTTTAAAATAAACTTTAAACTCCAAAGTATGATTTTTAAGACCCTGTGTGGTCTGGCACTACTTACCTCTTCAACCTTGTCTGTCTTACCACTGAACCTCTTGTCCCCCTTTCCTATAAGAATTTTTTTTCACTAGCCTTTCTGAATTTTTATTTCCTTAAAATGTGCCAGGCTATTGTGGAAAAATGAACAAACAAAAAAAGCCTTTACATATGCTTTTAGTTTTTCCTCTGGAGTATTCATTTTGGTAATCAATTTCTCATTCTTTTGAGTTTCATCTCAGCACTTCCTTTTGGTTGCTTTTCCTGATTCCTCATGTTTGTCTATAGTGGTTCTCCCTGGTCACACAGTTTAAGTGCTGGTGTGTTTACTTTATATTATCTTCTTTTTAGATTGCATGTTTTATGGATCAGGGATCATGTTTGCCCTTCCAGGCTCAGCCAAATGCCTAATATAGTCTATACATACAATTATGTGTGGAGAGAATCATTAAGTGTTTGAACAAATGGAAATGTGGTATACTTTTTCCTCTTTTGATAAAAAGTCAGATAAGAGAGAAATTGCCTCCTTTTGCTACCAGCTTTACTGTAAGTGTGACAAGTATGTTGAAAACCAAGTTTCTATAAGTAATACTCTTTTTTTTATAGTAAAGGATATGGTTCCTGGTGCTTGTTTGAATAAATATCATGTGTTCCCAGGGAGAATTCTTCCTCTCTTGCCCTTCTGGCATTATGGTATGTTATCTTTTGGGGATTGTGACTGCCCAAGGCAATTCTTGTAGTATTACAACTTTTAAGGCCATTTTATCCCCCTCTCCAATTTGCCAGTGTTCTCAAGTTTAAAAAATATTGTACTAGGATTTTGGTTGAAATTGAGTAGGAATATAGATTGCAGTGGATTATTAAGGTTACTTTTTCATTCAAGACCCTGGTATGTTTTAAGTCTTCTGTTTCATATATCTTACAAAGTTTTTAATCTTTTGTGTATGTGTGTGTGTGTGTGTGTGTATACAGATACACATAACTATTTTTTGAGGTTATTTTATGTATTTGGTTCTTTTGATGACCTAGTTAATTTAATGCTTTATTAATAAATATAACTTACTCCTGATATATAGGAAAACTATTGATTTTAGTCCCCTTCTTTACTATCCAGCCAACACCTTATATTAAGAATATCATTGTGATTTATTAATTTTCATTTCTTACTACAATTGTCCAAGCATATAGAAGAATTATTGTAAAATAATGGCGATAGCTTGTTTGCTTTGTCCTTTATAAATTCTGACTGTAGGTTTACAATCAATTTGACATTGATATTATAAATATTGATGTTTTTTATTGTCCTGTGGAAGCTTCCTTCTAGTTGTTTACCATTATTTTAATAAGTCTGTATTTTATTAAATGACTTTCATATTATATGAAATGATCCTGTACTTTTTGTGTAGTGATGTCACAAATACATGAGACCCCATCTCATATATTTAATGTTGAACCATTCTTGAATTCTTAAGATAAACTTGGTGTGGTATATTGTTGTTATTCTTATTCTTATCATCATAACTATTTTTTTTTTTTTTTTTTCTCTTTTCCCTTTTTTGAGACCTGTCCTCATTATGTTGCTGAGACTAGCTTCAGATTCCTAGTTGCCGAGCCTGGCTTCAAACTCTTAGGCTCAACTCTTCTCCTGCCTCAGCCTTCTCAGTAGCTGGGACTGTATGCATGTACCATGGCACACAGCTTCTTCAAACAAATATTTATGTCAGTTCACTAGGAGTTTCGCATAATTATAAGTTAGAATAGTTTGAGATTTTTCATGTTTTGCATTTAGATTTTGATATCAAAATTATACTCTTAGTTTTTTAAAAGTAATCAGAATGCTTCCAGTCTTTTTTCTTCTGGATCATGAATAGAGTATCTTGCAGAAATAAGCTTGTACCCTGAGGTGGTACAACATTATCTATTTTGATAACTTACATATTATATGATTTTTAGAGATCTCTCCAATTTTGTTATTAGTGGTATTACTCTGAAATACCAATTAACTAATAGAGGAATCAGGCATTAAAGAGAAGATGGACTTTTATTTATCCCACTAAGTTTATGCTTACATAATTCCTGTGGGACTATAAAAACAAACTGCCTGTTTTGCAGTTTTATCTGAGGCTATGATTTTTCAGGAGGATGCCCAAGAAGATTATTGTACTGGTGGTTAGCACTGAACACAGCAATGAGACAGGGTCTGTAAGGAAATACCATCCCTGTTTTATTTCCCACATGTATAATGTTGACATCACAAACCCTTAAAACTTGAAATCTTTCTTTATGTATTTTTTAATCAGATGCTGTGGTAGTCTTTTTGTATACTGAATGCTAAAACAATATTGTTTCTGTTTTCACATATTTCAGGGCTCTGTAGCTAAAATATTTTTTGATTTTTGTTACACCAAATATATAAGGAAGCAGTAGTTCTGCTGAAAGCATGTTTGATAAAAGGACCATATCCTCACACATATGCAGATTTTACTCAGTATTTGGTACATGGTCTTCTTTTACCTAACAATGGGGATACATTCTGAGAAATGGCCTTGTTAAGTGATTTCATTGTTGTGTGAGCATCCTGTCCTACATAAACTAAGATGGCTGTGACATCATTAGGCAGTATAATCTCACAGGACCAGTGTTATATATGTGGTCATTTGTTGACCAAAATGGCATTATGTAGTGCATTTCTGTATTTTCGTTGAACTTTACAACTTTTCTGCTGCTATATGAATTTTAGTATGAATTATTTCAGTTAGAGGTAAACCAAACTATAGAAAGGAGTAAAATTTTTGTAATATAGTTCTGGGGGAGAGAGAGGGGAAAAAAAATAAAGACAAAATCCAACCTTGAGTTATTTTAGATGTCTTTAGGAGAGAGAAAAACTTGTTAGAAGAGGACTGGGGAAGCCAGATTAGAAAATTTTAAGGTTCTGGAATTAGATTGTAATGAGTGATGCCCAGACCACATGACCCTAATAGTGGAGGCAGTGCTTAAGAACTGTCTTTTCAGTAGTGTTTTATAAAATGTAAATATAGCTGAGAACCTTTTTGTAGCCCAGAAAGTGGGGAGAGTCAACAGCTCAGTAATATATTTAGGTAACTGTTAACGGAAGACCAGATATTAAATAAAAAAAAAAGAAAGAATGGAATATTATCACTGCAAAGCCAATTGAATTAAAAAACTTCTTGAATATAGGGAGGAAATTTTGAATCTTATAAGGCATGATATCCAAGAATTAACCATATATAGCACAAATTAAAAATATAGTCGACACTCTTTATTTGCCATCTTCATTATGTAATTTATAGGTTTTCAGTGATGTCTTCCCAGCCCAATTTTTTCCCTTAGAGGCTATGCTCGGATGATGAATATTTTTATTGCAAGGTTTTGGGGCCCTGAGTCGTTATGGACGGAATGACCATGCAATAGAAAGTCATGTCTTTATTTCAGATTTTATCTTTTTTTTTCAATTAATTTGAACATTTTTCCATCTTACTGTGAAGTCACATTTTAATAACTTTTAATGTATTTTCAGCTTTTGTTATGTAAACTTTTTAAATAATGCTAATTCATTTAACTCTGAATTTACTTGTTTGTTGCTCAAGTAATTTACCTTTCTGAGCTAAGAATTCATTGTCCAAGAGGAAAGATTAGTTCTATTTTAATCTCAGATATTGAGAAAAATTTTTATATCTTTTATAATATTTATTATCTGGGAATTTTTGTATTGTTAACTGTTCAAAATCTTGTTGGCCATCCGTCTGCCCCACTTCTTTATGTATATCCCAGTGCAAACCCAGGACTAAAGTTCTCACCTTGTGGAAAATATCAAATGCTTTTTTTTATTATTTATTTAAATAATAGCTATGTAGGATTTAGAATTTGGTATTTGGTCTGCTATTAACAGACTTTTCCTTGGCAGAACATTGAATTCTTAGCTAGAAAATATTATATGGATCATTGGACCTATTAATTGTCTTCCTGTGCTAGTTAATTCTCTAAAAGTGAAATCACCTACAACAAGGATAATTTATGTTTTGCAGCTTTAAGAAAACATGTTAACTTTTTTCAATGATTGTACTTTTTTCTGTTCACAATAGGCAAAATGACTTGAAAAATTAAATCTTTATATTTGCAATTTTGTACTTGTTAATAAAGGATTTCATTTATGGACCATGTTGGCTTTCTGTCATGGGTGACGGGTTTAGCATTAGTAAAAAAACGCCTTTTTTGTATTTGCTTTTGCAGATTGGATGATCTGTGTTTTTGAGTACAAGTTTAAATTTGTACTTCTCCCTTTTTACTTGTGGTGTTTTTCACTCAGTGCACAGTTGCAAGCAGTTTCTACTGTGTCATTCCTGTAGGGAAAAGGACATTGAAGGGTTTTACCTGCATTGTGAACTTTGCCCTTGGGGTGAAATTGAAACATTAAACAATTCAGCTTAACCCTTCCTTTCCATCAGTCTTGGTGATCAGAAAGAATCCTGTTAGGAAAAGGATTTTCATTTACCTCCTTACACTCTTTAGATTGTACCAAACAGAAAATGAAAATCTATTCTCATTGTAATATTCAGAACACATGCTTCTTTACTTTTCCCTTACTAAACTTGCAAATTATCATTATAAATCCTACATGAAGTATATCGTAAAATCGAGGGAAATGATATACTTCAGATATAACTTACTATGTTCTCTTACTTTCCTTTTTAATCTGTCTTCTAAAAATGCACTTTGACAATGTTAAGGCAGTTACTCAGACAATATGTCTGGCAAGCACTGTTTTAAGTGGTTTTGATGTATTAATTCATTTCATCCTTGTAATTTTAGAAAATAGGCTATATTATTATTTCCATTTTACAGATGAAGAAACAGAGGCACAAGAGGCTTAAATGATTTGTCTAAGGTCACATAGCTTTTGATTGGCAGAGCTGGAATTTAAGTTTAGGCAGTCGGGTTCTACAACCCCTGCACTTAACCAGCGAACTCTGTTAGTGCCATCTCTCCTGCTTATGGCTGCTTAGGAAACTGTTCTGAGGTGGAAGTTCAGTTCTTGAACACCACCCCTTTGTTTTTACATAATGTGGCTGCAGCTTACACTCCAGAACGCCTCTTTACCCATCACCCCATTCATTCCCTGTGGTGCTTGTCTTACTCTCTTTCTTCACTTTCTCTTTTCTTATCTTCTGTTTCTGATTTACTGTGCTACCTTGCTTAAAGGCCTTCACATACACTTTTCTATTCTTATTCTACCTTCTCTTCATTCCCTTTTCAGGCCTTGGAACCTTTACCAGATTGCAAAGTCCCTTCTGTTTGCTTTTCTCTATTTTGCCCATTGAGCTTTGTGAAGGTAGAATAACCTTTTATCTCATTGGTTCTTTAGAGCCTAGAAGAGTTCTTGGTACATTAAAAAAAAAAAAAGCTATTGAAATCGAATGCATGAATATTTTCCAAGCTGATTACAGACCATATGTAAAGAAGTGGAATAGATAAGAGTCCTGAGGTTGTAAAAATTACTTACAATTGAAAGACAGTGGATGGACAGCATTGAATCTTACTGGAAAGAACAAGAAAGAGCATGTTATCTTAGTCTAGTCATTGGAAACTGTTCTTCTTTATTTTCCTGTCTATAAAATAAGGGGCTCCTACTGTGATGTAAAGTCTCTTCAGTGTAACACTGTATCTTGTGAATCAGTGCATGCTGAGAAGTTTACATCAAATTGCTCTCTGGACAACAATGGTTTGTTCTGTGATGGCTGTGATTATTATAGATTAGAGTATATATATGTATTAAAATTAATTTTTAAAGTGTCATGTTTTCTGCTTTATTAAATTATTTGTCATGCAGCATAGTTTTCCTTCTAATGGATCTAAATGCCTATGCTGTGTTATCTAATTTTGTATTTGTTTATACAGACTATAGAGCCTATAATAGCTATAGTAAATGATTTATATTTGCATGTGAAAGCATCTCACCCGTAGTGATTAATGATTAGGAAACCATGTTTTAAAATGTGAATATGAATACAGAAAACGAGAGTTGTGGAAAAATTCAAATATGAGTTAAAACATATTCAATTAAAAATACTCTGTGTAATGATTTGGTGTCATATTGAAATTTCACATCTTTCTTCATTGAATTCAGTAGCTTTTGATACTGGATCCATGTGCCTAATGTGAGTTCTGAGTCATTTATTTTCATTAACATTGTGTATCATTAAGGATGTTAAAACAATTATTCCACCAGTACATCCATTTTGTTAAGAATCAAGTCACACATTTTATTTACTTAGACCCATCTGCATTTATTTTACCAGTAATATATTTGGTCTGCGGCCTGTGGATTATACAGACAATGAAAATATGAAATCATTATTGCTGCTACCAGAGAAGAATGAATCATCCTCAACTAGCCATTGCTCAGTTGTAAGTATAGATTTAGCTTTGGGACATTTATATCTTTTATTGAAATTGGTTATGAAAGGAACATAATGGAAAAATTTCCAGTTAGCAAATGGCTTTCATTCACCAAACAATTATTGAGCACTTCCTTAGTATTAGCTACGGTGGATTCAGAGACAATCAGAGTAAAACTATCAAGAAATATTTATTGAACATTCTCTGTACTTAAGGCAGCGTTCATACAACAATGAATATGACTGATACAACCCTTACTTCAAAGAACTTGCCTGCTAGTGAGAAGCAGAAAAGAGACAGATTGAATAGATAAGTTCAGGGGACTTACTTGCTAGTGTGAGATAGAGAAGAAAGATAGACTGTGAATGTGTAAATATTGTAAGTATTATGGGGAAGGGAATCTGTAGTAATGTACACCAATTTTTATATCAAACAGTAGGTTGTAGGATATGTGATTTTGGAGCTAAGGAGAGAGGTACAAGTGGCAAAGATACAAGAGATAAAGTAGAAAGAACGCCTTTTCCTTAGGAACCCACAACTAAGTAGGGAATACAGATATAAAAATTTTACTACACATTGTAATAAATTTATAATAGAAGCACTAAAAATGTACAATAGAATCATAGAGAACGTAAAAGAAAACTTCAGAAGGGTTCAGGAAGAACTTCACAGAGAAGATGACAGAAGTTGTCTCAGTCTTCAAGGTAAAAGTTTTAGCAGGCTATCTGTTAGAATGCTGTTAGATACAAATATTAGAAAAACTTTACACAAATGATTAAAGTTTTTAATTTATTATCTTAAAGGTGATCCCACCATAGGCTAGCTCTGCATTGTTTTACACAGCAGTTAAGGACTATACCAAGGACCCAAATTCTTTCTATTTGCTTTGCCATCCTGTATTTGTAAGCTGTGTCCCTTTAGTGGTCATAGGATCATCGCCACAATTTCAGATGTGACAGTGCCCACCTGTAAAAGAGTCACTAAAACTTTTCCCAGGGATCTTGTTGTTAATTTCCCCAGTGTCTGATTTGTCAGAACCAGTACTAAATTTGTTTTGACATACCTTGGGCTTGGAAATAGGGTCAGATCTTAAAAGGTCCATACCTGGACTTTTGGTAGTATGGAAGCAGTGAGGAATGGGTTTTGTCTGGACAACAACGTTGTTCACTTTTATTAGTCTTAACATCGTGAAGAAAGCAGTTCAATTTTAAAGAGCAACTGCTAGGAGGAAAGGAGACATAAAGAACCTTAGAAATTCAAGGCACTGTACAGTGTAGGGTGAGAGGAACTGAGGTTTGTTAAAGTGGAATTTGGGCTAAAGAACTGGGTTGGGATCAGCCTGTGAAAGGCCTTGAATTTCTTGATAGGGACTTTAGACTTACTGGGGAACTTTAGTGTGTTTAACTGGAATGGGGTGGTCTGGAGGACCCAGTTTTGAGAAGGAAGAGATTGAGGCTGACAGAGAGACTATTGTGGTAGAGTTCAGGTGTGAAATGGTGAAGCCTGGAATTGAGGGTGGTGGTAATGATGTGGAGATGGAGAAAAGAAGGAGTTTGAGAGAGAAAGAAAGAGTTGGTGGACTTGCTGTATCTTGGTAACTGCTCAGATGAGGGAAGGGGATAAACTGAAGGAAACACCATTCCCAGGAGATTTCCTGTCTAGGAAGGGCAATGGATTAGTGATTGATGCCTTGTTGAAGTTACAGAGATGGCCGAGGTAGTTACAATTTGATGTGGTCATAGGTTCCATCACAGGCTAGTTTCTTTTATAGTTGCAAGCTCTTTATCTTCTGCTTTAGACTGCAACCTTATTAATGTGCTCCAAATTATAGTTTTGGAAATGAGCTAGAAGAGAACCTAGAAGTCAGCAGTTTAATTTATTCCTTTTACAAATGAGAAAACTGAGACCTAGAGAGGTGTTGCTTTGCCCGGGGTTATTAACCAGACATTAAAAAAAAATATTTCTTAATGGACCAGTTAGAACTCAAATTTCTTAAGTCTTAGGTCAGTTCTCATTCAGTTCCACCATACTTAATAACTACTTAATGCTACTTATTTTATTCATTTATACTTGAACTCTCCTGGCAGAACACAGCCTATCAAAGTTGTCATTTGTCAGTGTTCCTTTTATGTAAAAGCTGAAGAAGGATCATATTAAATGTGTCAGAAATAAAGATATCTTTATGGTATTCTTGGAGTCTGAGGATGGCAATGCCTTCAGAAAATAAGGATTTTTATTATTGAATATGAGAAATCTGTACTGTCATGTGGATATGGCCTGTGAGTATCATTTACTGTCTTAGTGGTTGATAACGAGGCTGAAGAAAAACCATTACCTGATCAGGAGTGTCAGTTGAAAGCATAGCTTCTTTATGTAGAACCCTTAAGATGTGAACTCTGGGATCTGCTGCCCCCAGGCATTTTCTGCTCACCTTTTTAAGCCATATGGGCTGCCTTTGAGTCCACCAACTATGTTCTCTGTCAGGTCTTTAGCACTAGTTGTTTTCTTTGCCAGGAACAGATGTGGGGAGCCAGATGTTCATGTGACCTATTTCCTCATTTCCTTCCAGTCTGACTGTGCCACTCCCTGTGAAAGAGCACCTCCCAAGGTTGCTCACCCGCTCCCTCTGTATTGTCATACCACAGATTATCTGGTATCAGATGTTTTTACTGAATTGTTTTTTTCCCCCTGCTCCAACTAGAATATAAACTCTGTGAGGGCAGGGACTGACTATCTTATTTACTATATTAACTCTGGCATTGAAAACAGTTTCTGGCATATATTAAGGGCTTAATAAGTATTTATTGACTGTGTGCAGGAGCACTGTAGTGCCCTGTTAGAGGCATGCTTGTCCCTAAAATGAGCACAAGTGCTTGGTGGCTGGGTCTGGAATCCTTTCCAAGAAGCTGCTTCAGGGAATATCAGGTGAAGGGAAGGGTTGATAAGTATTAGTTAATGACTATTTGAAGGCATTGCTTTGAATCTGAGAAATATTCTCTGATCTTAAAGACCAACAAAACTGCAGGCCATGTTCATTTGGGGATTTCTCTGCCCATGATCCCTTTTGAGCATCACATTTATTTTTTTATTCTTTCCAGATTTTTAACTCCATTTTTATAAACTCATCACTAATAATAATTATCTGAGAAAAGTACCACATTGAATTATTATTTGAGTAAGAGTGAGTTTAATGCCGCTGAACAAAATGTCTAATTTCTATAAAATCAGGGTATTGAGCTCTTGGATTATTTCTTGAACCTCTTTGGAGCCTCATGGTTCTGAGACCCTTTCTTATTCAAATAGAATCCCCAGCCCCCATGCTCAGTCCCTCCCTAAGTCAAACGTGTGCTTTGGCAGCTGTTTGCTTTATATTTTATTATAGCATTCCTTCACTATGAGAAATTAGTTTTAGTTTCCGTTTTTTATGGAAATTTTAAAAACTATGATGGGAAAATGCTTGACCCACTTTGGTAGTTTTCTTGGTACAGATAGTATAACATGCTATATTTAGATATGATATCTTTCCACTTTTGTGTTTTGTGCAGTGAACTAATTTAGCTGAAATAGAGTTATATAAGTTGAAGAGTAATGTATTCTGTTTAGAGCTAGTTTTATGGCACTTATTTGCCTAACTCAAGATTTTTTGACATACTGTTTTTTAATATTATCATCATATAGTAATTGAACAATTATAGAGTATATTGAGTGTACTGAACATTCTCATGTTATAGAGTGTTTACAGTGTTTAGTTATGTTTACATCGTTTTATAATTTAGTGACTAGGAAAAATGCTTATAGAAATGTGATTGTAAATTGGTGTGGAATATGTACCATGCCCAGTAAAACTGTTGCTATTGGAATTTGCAATGAATAAGTAAGTATGCTAGTTGAACTTTTAAGTACTGAATACTATTATTTTTAAAACAAAATCTATGCAAATCTTTTAAAAAATGACTTATATGCTTGCTTAATACATAGTAGAATCTCATTTAATCTTTTTTGAGGGAATGAATAATGAATTATTGAAATTAGCCTATTTATAGATGTAGCCAACGACTTAAGTATAATATGAATTATAATTGTTGTGCTGTGTGAAGTGAATACTGACTTTCTCCCAGCTCTGTGGGCTTGTGCCTTCATCATTCTTCTCATGTACTTCAGAGCTCTGGAAAGCCCAGATGCCCAGTATACATACATACACAAAGGGCCCTGTGGCTCATGTTTGAAAAGGACAGTATTGCATTTGGCATTTTATCCTTTAATACAGCAGTACTGATTTAACTTTTCTTCTTCACTGGATTATTATTTTTGTTTCATCAGGTAGCTTTTGGAAATTCATTCCAATTCTATTTATTAAATTTCTATTAGCTGTTCTTTAGCCACTTTGTCATTGTTTCTTTGCATCTTCCATTTCTAATCTTTAATGACATACATTGATGTCTTCTCTTTATTTTTGTATCTTTTTGTCTCCTAAACTCTAAATATAATTGTTAAAATAAAAGTGTAAGTCTTTGTTAGAGTACTACTTCCTCTCTCATGAGTGACATGGACTTCTCACTGTAATGGATCCAATCTCCTAACTTGAATTCTTTTTTCTGTTTTCATTTTTCCTTAGCTTTAATAAACATTTGTCTTCTTTGAGGCCATAAAGCTTCAGTATTCTTTGACTTTACAGATAATCTCAATTTCAACTAAATTGAACAAGTTGAGTTTAACTCTGTTGAATAATTGGAGGAGGCAAAGAGAATTGATCATTTTAATTGATACTTTGGGTTTACCAGTGACAGACTAAAATTTTAAACCCTACAGAGATCTGGTTTGACAACAAGGAAGAACAATGTCCTGGGTAAAGAGAGCTAGCCCAATTTATGTTTTCTTGGGAGGAAAATAAAGGAACAGAGAAATAGTTACTCAAATATGTTGAGCATCAGGGACGTGAGTGTAGGTTCAGTAGACGTTATTGGGAATTATTAAATAGAGTAAGTGAAGTAATGAAATTCAGTCTTTTATCAGGTGACATCCTATTGAATGTCTCTCTCTTTCTAAATTTTACTGCTGTGGTATTTCCTTTTTCACTAACAGGTGAATTCTGGGCAGCGTAGAGATGGACCACTTGTGCTTATAGGCAGTGGACTTTCTTCAGAACAACAGAAAATGCTCAGTGAACTTGCAACAATTCTTAAGGCTAAAAAATGTGCTGAGTTTGACAGTACAGGTGAGGATTTTGATTTTATTTTTGGCAGAAAAAAATTTTAAATAGGTAATCACTTTGGAAAATTAACTTGGTTAACTTTGATATGCTTTAACCATTGAGATATATACTTTGTATCTTGTAACAACCTAAAATGTTTTTGTAGTGATAAACTACTTACAGGTTTATTGTTACTACAAAATGTGAAGTTTGAAACCTTATACATGTTTTAGGACAGTATGTCAGAAGAACAAATTTATGGGTTTGCCAGTAACATTAGAATGCTATGTAATGCAGTAATTCCTCAGTTATAATTTGAATATAACAGAAAATTTGCATTTGGTAATGTGACTTCAACTTTACTATTGGTAAACTATTGATCTAATTTTTCATGTTGATGGTCAGATTAGAGAATGATATAAAAAGTCCTTTATTTGTGTATAAAAATTGTGACCTTTGAAGAAAGTTCAGGTATAAGTTAATAAAATGTACCAACTGGTTATTTTTTTAAAGGATATTAATTACTTTGGTTTATATCTCTGTTTTTCTTACTACTATATTTATGTTTTAGTAACTCATGTCATTGTACCTGGTGATGAAGTTCAGAGTACTCTGAAGTGTATGCTTGGAATTCTTAATGGATGCTGGATTCTAAAGTTTGAATGTAAGTATTGGATTTGGGAGAATTGCAACATGCATGAACTAATGTAGTTTACTTTTCAAAGTGCATTATTAATGTGCCTAATTATTTAAGGAACATATGCTAATTTTCTTACCTCTTGTTAGTCTCTGTATTTTGAAAAAGCTTCTGATATTAATGCTATTATGTATATATTTTTAATAAAATGTCCACAAATATATTCTGATTTTCAAGTCTTTTTTTCTATAATACCAACTATTTATTTTAGTAAGGAGTAATGGAGTACATTGTAGACTTTCCATATTACTGTTAAATGATGTATTTAACTTAACATACTCCTGTTTTAAATATACTGCGTAAGAGGTCTATGAAATGAAAGTAGTTTATTGCTTTCCCTTTAAGATTTCTAAAATATTACCTACCTGACTCTTTTTTGTTCTCTTAGTTTTAATTCATCATTTTTAGGTAGCTGTTGAGAAATTTAGACTGCATTGTACTACCAGGTCGGGGGTAAATACATGAGGTGTTACCTGAACCTCCACTGAAAATATGGCCCTCTTTCCTTGTTACTGTCAGTCAAACATCAGTACTTCTAAGCTGCCTTCCATCTCTCCTGCTGTCACATGTATGCTTTTTTAAATCTTGCATTCATGTAGGACTTTAAAAAAAAAAGAAACCTCATACTTGGTTATTTTCTACTCCTCAGTAGCTAAGTATCTACCTTTGATGTAATAGCTGAAGTAGGACAGTGGATTAACCTACCTTTGTTAATAAATTGTTTAGAAAAGATTAGTGGTTGCAAAAGAATACCATGGGAAGTCTTGTGATTATACAGATTAGGGTTCTGATCATAGTGATGTTTATGGTACAAGCCTGCACGTGTGATAAAGTGTCATAGTTACATGCACACACACACTAGTGCATATGTAGTTGCTGTGAATTGTGTTGATGTAGGGTTGTTGATAGCGCTAGAGTTGTTGGAGGGAAGGTAGCTTGGAACTTCTCTGTGTGCTTCTTTGTAACCTCCTTTGACTAATTATTTCAAAATAAAAAGTTAAAGAATAATGGATATAATTAGTGAAACTTTTTTTCTAAGAAGTAAATAGTGTAATAAAATTCATTTAAAAAAACATTGTTTTATGGCTTTGTTCTTTGAAGACTTCATGGTATAATGCTTAATTTATCAAGATTTTAAAAACTTTAAAAAAAAAAATTATTTATTTATTTTTGGTACCCAGGATTGAACCCAGGGGCACTTTACCACAGAGCTACATTCCCAGTCCTCATTATTTTTTTTTATTTCAAGACAGAGTTTTGCTGAATTTCTGAGGCTGACCTTGAACTTATGATCCTAGTGCCTCTCAGACTCCTGAGTCCCTGGGATTACAGGCGTGTGCTACCAAAGATCTTAATTATATTATTTAATCTGAGTTTGAAATTTTTTGGTTTGTAAACAGTTTCCTTTGTGTTCATGTCCTTTTCAAATGAGGCTTCTACTTTCTCTTTTCTTTGTTGATGCTGTTTCCCACTGATGTGGTTGAACCCACCAAAGTGTCTTGTAACCTGCAATTCCATTCCATCTGTCCTCATTAGTCTCTGTTATTAATTCCTCCATGTTCTGACTAGTTTGAGAAATAAGTGATTGGACTAATTGATCATTTGCATAGGGGAAAAAAAGGTTTCTTATTATGTCTCTTTACATTTGAACTTTCTTTTTTCTTCCAAATCTGTGGTCTTATTGAGCCTGAATGTTTAAAAAACTCACTTAAAATGGCACCATGACTATGTATTCTTTTCTCCTGTGCCAGAAACTTTGCCAGTACTTATAAGAAGAAATAGAGTTTCATAATGATAAAGTCTCAGTAATAAAAAGGCCATGTGAAATTTTGAGTGTTAAGATGTTTTCCACTTTGAGTCTAGTTTTTGAGAATATGCTGAACGTTGGTATTTGGTTACATAAACAGGCTACACAATACATTTCTATAAAATCTACCTTCTTTTGGAGATGTGAGTTTTGTCACTTCATTGGCTTGGCCGTGTTATTTTCATAAAATTGCTAATGAACTCAAGCTGACCTAATATTTTGCTGTGTAGTGATTCTCACAGTACCGATTAACATCTTCTAATATCAATGATCTTTTTAGGATAGAGGGTAGTTGGAATATCTTACTGAAGTTCATATCCTTATATTTTCTAATATAAAGTCCAAAAGTGAAGTAGGCTGAAGGTTTGAGACAATTACTTTAAATAGTCACTGGGTTTATGAAAAGAAGGCAAAAACTCTCAAGTACCTTTTTTCTTATATATATATTTCTCACAGTTTCTATATTGTTCTTAGTGTCAAGCATCTCAGTTTGGTCTGAAAAAGTGTTTCAGAGTTATTCAAACTATCTGAAAATCATTTAAATTAAAAGAAAAAGAAGTGGACCAAAACTTTCAAAATTAATTGTAAAGATGTATGACTTAATAAAAACTAGGTCTCGAGTTTGATTGTAGGCCCTAGCTTTGTTGGTAGAGAAACCTGTATTTTCCCATAAATCAAATAATTCAAGAGGAATTTTATTATCAATTTTTTTTTCTTTAGATACTTGACTAATTTTACAAATTAACAAAGAATTATTCAAAACTTTTTGATCTAGTAGTTCAGATTTTAACTATTTTCTGTTTTGCCTTATTTTGTTAATAGCTCTTATTTTCCATATGTAAATATTTTATATATTATGTATTGTGTGTGTGTGTGTGTGTGTGTGTGTGTGTGTGTGTGTGTGTATCTTAGAATGGCATAGTCAATAGACTTAGCAGGAAGATTCTGAGACTAGGCCCTCATTATACTGTTGTACCAGCCATTCTGTCTCATCATATTGTTTAACAGGTCTTTTACGGGATAGTTTTTATCTTATATTTTACAGAAACTATAAATAGGGAAAGATCCTTCATTATGATCATAATTGTTGGGGGGCTGGGGATATAGCTCAGAATAAAGCACCTACTTAGCATGTACAAGGTGTGGGTTCAGTCCCTAGAACCACCAAAAGAGGGAAAAAGAATATGTCAGATCTGTGGATAAGATTCTGCCTCTGTTCTAGTATGGATGCTAATTCCTCATAAGCTTCTAATAACTACCCTTGTAGAAGGTGAATTTTGGTAATTAAACAAATGACATGACTGAAAGAATAGAAATTACATAAATAAGATATTTTATAAATCTATTATGAATAATAAGTTGAAACTGCATACCAAAAAGTGCAAGCTACACCTTCAATAAGTATTTTTTACCCACCGGTTTCTTTAGTACACTATTTTCAACATTTCTCTGGCTTAATCTCTTTTAAAAAAATTGAATTCTGCGTCTTCATTTCTCACCTCATTGTGAAAGGCAAGCAGATGGCTGTCATCTTTAATGTTCTCCCTCTTCCCCTTTTCTCATCTAAGTTTAAATAAAATTGCAGCTGTGGAAGTTTTAAAAGTCTTAGCACCTAAAGGAGTTGCTAGGGGAATGTGCCAGACATTTTGCATTGGACTTGTGTCTGACCGAGGAAGGGCCGTTTTTTGTTTTTGTCTTTGTTAGCAATGGACCCTAACAGACAATCATTACATCACGGGATTATAACTAACCTCATAATCAGCTTAACAAATTCATTCTTTTCTGCTAAAGTGAGCTTCTTAAATGGATATTAAGAGTGTTTTGGAATTCTAAAGATAAATGTAATTTTTATTCAATAATGTTCGCTAATTATTAAAAAAAAAAAGATAACAAAGTGTTCTATAAATTAAGATTGATGATGCAACTCCATGCTTCCAGAAGACCTCCACTAAAGATTCTCTAAGAATAAAAGAAAATTCTTTAACAGTCCTACTTTAAAAATTTTACCATAAACAAGTAATACAGGTAAAAGAAAAAGAAATGCTAGCATTGTTATTTCTAATAGCAAGAAGTAGGAAAATAACCTCAATATGAGAGAATTAAGATTCTGGAATGCTTAAAGGTATTCTCTGAGGGCTGGGTTTGTGGTTCAGTGGTAGAGTGCTTGCCTAGCACTGGTGAGTCACTGGTTTCGATCCTCAGCACCACATAAAAAACAAATAAATAAAAAGGTTAAATTTTTTCTTTATTTTTTTTAAAGTTATTCTCTGAGAAAAGTTTGTATTTTTATACAAGTAAAACAAAAGTATTTAAAAACAGGATTTTTAAAATTAAAAAACATAAAACCAATTATGTCTTTCTTACAGCATAAATTATGAATGCATGTAGGCAAAAGAAGAAAAGTATAGTAGGTTGGAACATTACTAAAGAGGCCCATTTGTTTTTAAGAGTTTTGAAAACAGTGTGTGCCTATTAGTTTAAATTCAAATTCTGTAAAAATAAGTTCAGAATTTCAAGTTCAAATATATTAGATAATATATTTTCTTTTTAGTCTTTCCCAGCAATTAATTGAATAGGTAAGGGCTTTGGTCTTTAAAAAGGAAAATTAGAACCTGCATCTGTGGATATCTACCACTTAATTAATATACCGGATCTTTTATACTTGTTAATGCAGGCCTAAAAATACATTTTCATATGGTTTTACTAATCTAAGATTAGAAATTTATACTCAGAATTTTAATATATCACCTCCAAAGAATCATGAACATAAGTTTTCAATTGTTGGAGTTTGGGACATTAGACTGAAGAGGTTGTCATTAGATTTTAATGACATCTTTAAACAGACAATTTTGGTATTATTTATTATATAAGGTATGAGAACTGATACTCAAGTTTTGCTTAAGAAAATTTTATAATGGTAATATATTTTTAGTGATACAATTTACTTCTTAGTATGCATTAAGTAAAATAAACTTAGCATATTATCTTAAAAGAAAATGTATTTTATATACTAAATATATGTACAAGTAGAATAGTAGCATAAGAAGTAGCCCAAAATAAATAATTGTTCAATAGAATTTATATGGAATCACAAAATCTACTGATCCATGACTGTAATTTCTGTGATATTTCAAACTAGATGTTTATGATGGAATGAATT